CTCATTTTATACTTACTCATATGCAGGAAGTTAATATATAGAAAAATTCAGAACTACCCCACAGGTAAGAGGAAATGACCACTTATTTGTTAATATCTCCTACTATGTCTAATATTTTCCACATTTTGTTGTTGTTGTTGTCTACCTGTTTTGGAAGTAGAAGAAAATAGTTTGCTAGTCAGTCATAGAACATGCAAGGTACCTAAACATGAAGAATCTTAACATGCACACAGTTTGATCCGTGGGCAAAAGATTCCTGATCTGGAAAGAAAGCCAGTATGTACCTAGTGTTCTGAATACAGAACACAGCTTTAATATCACAGCCTGTGATATTAAACATTAATGTTTAAAAAACTTTAAATGGAGTTAAAAGCACAGACTGCAACACAGTTCATCTTTTGAATCTAGATCATACCCCCCCATCACCAGGCTTTGTTTCATTGGAAAGGTTCTCCCAGTCAAAGCATGAGGCAAGTAAAAAACATTCTGCTTTCATGCTTACTGTTCACTGCTGAAGATGTTCATTTTGTTGTAATTTTGATAGTGAACTTGGTAGTTTCACTCGATCCCAGAATGGGTTACCTGACATGAAAGTGCCATCGGCTATGCATGTAGAAATAATCAAAAAGACGCTTTTTTGAATTCCACGTGAAACTCCCCATTGGACATATAGAAGTGTCATGAAAAGAGGTTTGACATCAAAAATTTGTTTTTATACTCCCCATTTCAATTTCTTAAAATGTGCTCCTCGGTTATCTGCCTTTGGATAACTCCTGTTTCCATCACAGTAACTTCTACAAGTTGGCACATACAGGAATTTTATTTCCATTCAGTCATATTCAAGTATGAGAAGCAGTGTGTCAATACTGTCAGCACTCTTCTCAGGTTCCCACTCTGCACGAGGGAGTACTGCATTACAGTAAAGTACATACTCATCACGGTAGCAGAGCTCTCCTTTTTCATAGGTTGCTCAAAATCCCTCTTCTCAGCTCTATGTTTTAATATACAGTGTTGTCCTGCAAAGAGTTAATAGTTAGCTGTAAACATTGTGGCAGTTTCTGTAAATGGTTTTAAACAGCAGAATGTTCCACAGCTATCTGCAGCAGCAAATGGAAGGCTGATAAGAAAACACTAGGAAAACAAGCTATGTGGTGCCAGCCACATGCCACACAGAGCTGCTGAGTTCAGCTAGGATTTGTGTCACTTGGTGTGCAGTATGACCCAGGGATTGTATGCAAAGCGTTGCCTCAGGAGGGCAGGAATAGAAACTGAATTACAAACTGAGACAGCCGTCTTTAAAGTGTGGGGTTAAAAAGTTAATATTTTTATCTAAAAGAGGACTTCATCATACAACTACAGATCTCCAAGATTATGAGTGTGACTAGTTTTATTACAATAATCAGACTAGACAATACTCATAATGGCCAGCTAGTGGTCACAAGAACTAGTGAGAGCTACTGAATTAGAGATTTATTTTTTTTCACCCTCACGATGCAGAACAGAAATATTACTAACAAAGCTATATGAAGTGATACATGCATTGCCACAAGGGTATTTGCTGCCCACATGATTGGAAAAATAAGACAGTAGAACAAACAAAAATCACCTGAACAAGAAACTATAGATTTTTGCTCTCAAAATATCATATAAAAGTAACACTGCCTAACCCTCATGTAGGCATTGTTCAAAAAAAAAAAAAAAAAAAAAAAAAAAGTAAAAACTCAACATTGATTCACTATTCCTACTTAAAAGTAGCCATACTGAGGTATTTCTTGTTCCAGAATGGGCTCTGAATTCAAGCACATAAAAAACTGCTTCATAATGGTCCTGTGCATGCTCTGTAGGAATAAGAACATTACTGCTCAATTGAAAAATCTAAAATTTCCATCTCCATGTCATCCTGTCATATGTCACACAGGTTACGTTCCTGGGGATTAAAATTTTTAGCACTTCTAAGAAGCAATGCATAAAGATTATTTCTTCCAGGGTCAGTAAGGCTTCTGAGCCTTGAAGAGCTCCTGAGGAATTAGTTCACAAGGCTACAAACTTCCCTGCCTTCCTATTAGATTTTTTCCTTTTGCAGAAGACAATATGGACAAAGTTACAACCTTTTTCAAGTTCAGGTTCTTCTCACTCAAGAAAACAAGAACAGAAATGAAGATGACACACTGAGGATTGGCTTACTGACAAAAGTGGTTCCTTTACTTTCTGGAGATGGGGGTTTCCATCTGTGTTTCTCCTCCACACCCATTTCCAGTCCTTCAAGATCCACCACCTAAATGCAACACAGCTTTGCTCCCAGATTTCAAACTGGGAGTGTCCACCTGGGGAGCAAAGTTACAGCAATAGCTCTGCAAGACAACACTAGCAGAACGAATCATCTGTGAGACAAACCCTTCTGGAAGTCTAAGATCGGGACAAGGCTTTTCTGGCTAGTTCTCCGTGTCTGTCATACTTAACCACTCCCTTAAAAACAGAAACAATAAAGGCAGCATTTTATTTAACAGGCTGACAGTAACAACTACTCTGGAAAAGAAAACATCTTATAAAAAAAGCTATGTTTTATCTTAATTAAATAAAAATGCAAGAATGACAAAACTACTCATGAAAAAAAAGATAATTTAAAGACTGAAGGGTCTCTGCAATGTTTGAGAACTTTGTGTCATTTACATTGTTTTCGCTTTCTCCAAAGGCAAAAATGAGAAGGAGGGATGATTCTAATACTCATGTTTCACATTAGAAACTAGATCCTGTTTTCTGTATTTGTTTTCAGACCAAACATAAAACATTCATGACTATGGATCAGAAGATTCATTTTACAGTAGGTCTGATCAAGCACTGGCATAACAGAAGCAACACCTACCTAATTTCTACTCGTACAGAAACAACAGTAACATACAATTTAGTAAAAGGCATTTTTGTTTCCCATATGGTTTTATATATCTGAAACTTTAGCATGATTTAGGTATAACGATCACTTGTTGTCAAGGTGGTGTTGACACCTAAACATACTTTGCCCAAGAAATAGCTCTTACAGGTCACCACACCCTGACTATGCAACGTTCTGTATGTGCTGTGGGCATAGCTCTACATTTATGTGCCAAAAAAATTATATGGGGTTCTGAGGTGAGGACAGCATAGGCTGAAAGCAATGCAAAATAACAACAACATAGCCCCAACATAGTAAATACAGGACAACTCAAATAATACTTAAAGAGTCATCTCTCTCTCATCTCGCTCCTGTTCCAGATTCTGCTATGTCATGTAAACCACTTCTTGTATCACTCACAACACACGCATTCTTAAAGAGTTAGCAACTAAAAAGACTGCTGGCAACGCGTAAAATTATTCTAAAAAGCCAGTTCTCTACAGACAGACAGCTCTTCAAGCCTGCAGATGAAAGGATCACGTCAGAAGCCCTGGAAGTCAGCAGCAAATCTAATTCGAGCCCACAAAATTCACGGAAGAGAGAGAGACGGAAAAAAGGGGAAGTGCAAGGAGAATGCGACTTAACCCAGAGCAGGGGGGTAACATGAAGTAAAAGCCAGTAAGAACAGCTAGCTTACTTGGTACGGGTGGGCCTTCTGCTCCCAGCACGAGCGTCCCAGTGAGGCTGTTCTCTCACCAGTGCCCGGCAGGCTGTGGTTTCAGTTTTCACAGCACCAGCCAAGCCCTCGCAGAGGCCGTGTGCTGGCTGGCAGGGCCGCGCCTGCTGCCGTCGGCGTGCAGGGCGGGCAAGGCAGGCACTGCCTTGCTACCCAGCAAGCGATCAGATAGCAAGGCAGACACGCCGCTGCAGGACCGGTGCCCGTGGCACAGGGAGGGCCACCCCAGCCCTGCTCTGGCTGCAGAGGAACTCCTGGAGGTGGCAGGAGCCATCTCCCCAGCAGGCATGGCCAGGCCAGGGGCATGAGGCCTGCGTGAAGGGCGCAGCTCTCGGTGGGGTCACCGTCAGCTCCCTGAGAGGAGCCTTCATCCTGCGCCCGCTGAGACGTGGCACGGGTGCTGAGGGAAGAAACCCACCCACCCCCCTAAACGAGACCGAAACTTACTGTGGGTTTAGGGGCCAGCACCTCCCTGCACTGCGACTGGCTACATGGGGAGCCAGGGTAAATATCTAGTATCACTCAGATGAAATCAGATGGCTGCACCAGCTAAAAGCCACTGGAACTGGACTGATTAAGACCACTATTTTGACCAAAAAAATCCAAAACATTTACATTAATTCAGAAGTCAAAAGGCAGTACTTGTAGCTTTTTGAAATACCAAAAGTGACCTGCTCTTAAACTATTTTTTTTGGTATAGAATCAAATTCTCAACATGCATGATCTGGAAGTCTTATTTGCATATATTTAAAGAAAAAGACTTCACACTACTAATATCATTTTTTCATAATAGCTTCGATGACTTTTACCTCAATGGAACAAAAAACAAAACCCATCTCAAGAAGGGAAGTAGAGGAAGAACATCCAAGGATATGACACAGGCTGATGAGGAAAATACACTGTTTTGCTCAGTTAAGTATAGACATCTTTGCTTTTGCTCATATTATTAATTTTCTATCCTTGCAGAGCATTACAAGTTGTAGTTTTTGTAGGTGTAACTGTCCAGATCAGAGGCTTCTTTTATGGTCCTACTTTTCAAAAGTGACAATTACCTTTGCTGACCAAACTTCATGCCATAGCTTTACATGAAGCCAGCTCTTCCACACAGTTTGTATTCACACGTTTTCCATTTTTTAATGTTGTGGTCCATTTTCAGCATGCCTCTGCTACTGAGAAAACCAGCGCTGTCATCCACACTGACACAGTTCTCATGCTTTCAAATACAAGGTAACCATTGGTAACAACTGTGAGAGCAACTTGTAGAAGACACCCCAGTGTTGCAAAGCACTCATAATTTGAGTATCTCTGCAATCAGCTGCTCTAAGGGCAATATGAAACTGAAGATTGTAGATCTTTTTTGGAATAACCCCAAAATTTAGAGATGACCATCCGACCCTTTTTCACCATTTTACTGGCAACACAGTCAGGAATAACTTTGCACATTTCTTTGGACCTGCTGTATCAGTACTGCAACTTCAAATGTCCACTACTCCGAAATGTCTTTCTTCACAACAATGGGTTTGTGCAAAGTTCCCAGAAATAGGAATTTAGTGACAATTAAATTAGGTACATAGCAAATAATAATAATAATAAAAATAATCTCAGCAAATACAACAGCAGTAGGAATCACCTTTCACTATAGCCTTGATATTCAGACTTCTGAGAGAATTTCCAGTCTACTGCAGCAATAGCACAGCCTTTGTTCAACGATGTTTAGATACTATTCTTTTTCTTGCTCTCCTGTATGTTGCACAAAAAATAAGATTGAATCCCTTACAAAACAGTGTTAATTTGGATGACAACTGGAAGTAAGTCAGCTTAAATTTCTTACATTGTTAAGATCAAGAGGCTTCCTCTGAATATATTCAAGATCAGCCAAGTCTGAAATAAAAATAATACATGATGCATGTCCAATGTTGTTGAATTCTGCCAGCATTGCTTTAATAAACTGTCCATGGAACTAACACGGACAATGATGCACACTTCACTAAGCTACTGATGCCAGCAACAAAAAGAAAAGAAGTTTCACTGAGTTCACTAAGAGCAATACCAAAAATTTCTTACACAAAAAAAAAGCTGTAAAGCCTACTTGATATCAGTATAGTTATCTCACAAGAACACAAAGATCCAAGAAGGATAGCTAGATCGAGCTGTACTCAAATATTAGGGTCTTCTGGCTATGACTGAATGCTAAGCTAGAATTTGGCATTCCTGATGGTGATGGAATTTTTAAAAGCAAATGTGAAAGACCATAAAAGAAAATACACCAGTGCTCGTAAGGCACCTTTGGAACTGGAAGGATGTTAGTTCAGTTTTTCCTCTTCGCTATCGCCTGTTAATAATTTTGCAGTGACCTCCTGGTTTGCACACCTTCGCAGCAAAGGAATATATGGAAGAAGCTGCTCACCAGCAACCAGCAAGTATTAACAACCTTAACGGAGTCTTTATTTTTCCCCTCAAATTATCTGACAGGGTTCTGCAGAAAGCATATGCTTACTGAAGATACCTTGGTACAATACAGCAGCCAAACAGAACTTTACATCAAAACCAGAAGAAAGGCTTGCTATAGTTTGTTCCTAAGCAAAGAGTGAAGAGCTTCAAAATGTCATAGAGAACAGCAAGTCCACGCAGATACAAGAGAAAGGAGTAGAGAGGCAGCACTTCTTCGTTCCGCCACATGAAGGCACAGGCAACCAACTACAACCTGAGTAAGAAGACACTGAGCATATGCCGTTGAGTAAATACTGGCTGCAATGACAGCAGCTTAAGAGCAGAACAATAAAGAACGCAGGGATAAATGCATAGCGCTGAGAATGGCAGGTTAGATACACAGAAAATGAATCCAGACAGATGAACACTTACTCTTAGGAGTGGTTTGCATTACAAGGTGCAGACACAGGCAAATTAAACTATCCGGGTATTAGCCAGGCATTAAACAAGTACAAGCTCCTGTGTCTTTAAACTTGGAAACAGAAAACCCAAGCAGAACAAAAGCCAGCAGTTACTACTACTTACTAACAGGCAAGGAATCAGGCCATAATATAGAAACAAAAAACAAACAAACAAACAAAACAATCTGTTCTGTTTACAGTAAGTAATTCCACCATAGGGTAAGAGTAGATTGAAAGGCTGAACAGCTGCAGCAGCTCTCACTCACTCTCCCCATCTCCCTCATCCCCTCCCTAATTCATCTTGGACAACGTACATTAATGAAAAGTATTACTGACCAACAAAACAATTAGGATAATTAAGAAATCCCAAGAGAGTTCACACTTAGGACGCATTTAAGCTACAGCTGGGGGGGAGGTAGGAAGGGAAAAGAAGCAGCAGCAATCACAAAGTTGTCAGAAAATATGCTGGAGTGCTCTTGATTTCATTAAAGGAGTTGATCTAGTTTTGTAGCAAAATAGAAAAGGTTGCCTTGCCTTCGAAATGAATATTTCCTTTTCTGTAAAATCCATGTAAAAAATCCCTACACAATGTTTCTTTTGAATAGGTATTTTTAAAGACAAAGTGTGGAAAAGAATACATCTAGCCAAATGATATTTAACAAAAAAAAATACATAAAGAAGTCACATAGACTACATGAACAGAACAATAAATTGGTCATGTTCTATATTAAATAATACTGTAGGATGTCAGAAAGCTGTAAAAATTAAAAGATACAGTTAAAATAAAGTGTAGTCTAACTGAAGAAAGGTAGCCATGGCCCACTGTGAAGTTAAAAGCTTAAATTTAAAATAGCCATTGATTGTCAATCATGATAGCATGAGATAAATATTTTCCCAGTACATAATCTTCACAAATGAATACTTTGGAACATCTCAAAAACCAGAGGAGCATACGGTACTGAAGAAAATACATAGCCTAAGATGTCATAGCTAATAACATAAAGCAATATCTGGCAATTGCTTTTAGCCACTTATTTTCAGTATACTGTTTTCCAGTTGTTTCTCTCAATAGGATCACAGGAATTGTACCATACACAGTTGCTGTAGAAGATATGCTTACAACAGAAATAAAACAAAAAGAGAAACAAATACATAAATGCTAGTTAGCAAATCAGACGTGAGCTTTCATGAAATTATGCAGCAGCAACTGTTATTCAGAAAGATTATGTTTTGCAGAATCCTGGAATGGTTTGGGTTGGAAGGGATCTTCCAAGTCCAAACCCCAAGTCCCACCCCCCCACCATGGGCAAGGACACCTCCCACTAGATCCGGTTGCTCAAAGCCCCATCCAGCCTGCCCTTGAGCACTTCCAGGGATGGGGCAGCCTATGGCGGTGCCTCACCATCATCAGAGGGAAGATTTTCCTCCTCACATCTAATTTAAACCCATCCTCTTTTAGTTTAAAGCCATTACCCCTTGTCCTATCCCCACACTCCCTGACAAATAGTCCTCCCCGGCTTTGCTGTACCCCCTTTGGGTACTGGCAGGCTGGTATATACGATCTCCTCATAGATTCCTCTTCTCCAGGCTAAACAACCCAGAAACAGTCCCTCTCTGTAGAGCTATCACATGAACTACTACACTGAAAAAGGCACTGGCAAGCTAAGATGAACAGAAAGAAAATCAGCAAAAATGCCTGGATACCTTAAGTGATGGACAAAAGTGCTGAAAGAATATAAATGCTGTTGTCCCTTTCTTACGTTGCTGCTTATTGAATAGAGGGAAATAATTATTTAGGTAGCATAGCAGTGTTTTTTGTGAGTATTATTATTATTTTTTTAAAAGTATTGATTAAGAAAATGGAAAATGCTGTTCAAATACTTGCTGCAGAAATACTTGCTGCTGCTGATATAAATCAAAAGATGGGACAGCTGCAGGTATGGAATATGCACCTAACTGTGACAACATCAACTACAGCCATCAGTTCACGTGTGACCACCATCAAAAAATGTTTTCTCAACTCCCTGTTTGAACATTCTGCAAGACCTCATCATGTTTAAGAAAGCCTGCTTCTCTTCATGGAGTACCAACTGCACTCCAATATGTCACTCATCTTTACAACGTTCCTTACATTAAATTCCTGAACAACTGAACTGCTCCACGGGCTATGAAAGCAAAGAAAATTATCAGTTTTTTGATTTTTTCTATTCCTGCTGAATAAACAGAATCCAAACACATGAACAGTACTTAGGAGTGGGAAAAAAGAATCCTAGCCCCATGGTCAAATGAAGTTTGCCACTGATATCAACAGGACTGGATTTTTTTATTTTATTTTTTTTTAAGTAACAACAAAACTAGCTAAGCATACTTAAAAGGGAAAGCACTTTCCAAGTCTATTTTCTCAAACATCTAATACCTGCCTTTTGCTGACTTGCATTCCTCTTTTATTTTCATTCACTACAATTTCTAGCAAGACACAAAAATCATCTCTTAGTGATGCTAAATGCTGGCAAACACAAACCATTTTCCATCCCAGTGCAGGGGTTGAACTAACATCATACTCTCTTCATTTTTCAAATAGACCATTTAGTCACTATGCATTACCTTGACAGTAGAAGGTGCTCCGCTTGTCTGTGTTTTGGGGGGCTGAGTGACACTAGCACTAGTTGAACTCTTCTGCAAAATAAATGAAAGGAACATAATAAACAACAGAAATGTTGATGAAGAAAAAGGAAAGCCAAGTAAAACTGTAGACTCAAAAATAGTATTAAAAATTAAATACTAAAAAAATGTCCATCACTACATTTTAAAAAGGTAAGTCATCCAAACAGTAAGTTATGTATCTTTAATTCATATAGACTTATTTCAGATGGCTTTGACCAGCACAGAATAGGCTGAGTATTCTAGTACTGTTTCATAGAATAAACCTAAGTCTGTGCTATTTCCTGTGGCAGAGCAACTCATTTTAACAAAGAGTTAAACCAACAGTAGCCATATATACAAGCCAGGGCAACTTATGAGTAAGACTTTAATGACAAGTTTCAATTAAAATAAGATGGGTATGCTACCACTGTACAGAAATAACTTGAACAGCAACACTGAAGGTTGATATTATACCTCAGGCAGGGAAGTAGAGATACGTGAGAGCAAAACAATGGCTTTCCTAGCTAATTAATAAACTTGCAACAGGAACAAAATAGGACATCCCCTTTGAACCTCCATTTTTGCATTAATGCAGGACTGTTATTTAGCAAGGACCCCTAAGTACTGCTGGAACAACTCAGCAACTGCCTACGTCATACATAGTAAAGACTGGAAGAATCGGTCATTAGTAATTAACACAGCAAAAAACATAAGGTCTTTGGAGGCAGCAGATGGGTAAGATTTTGCCATTTTCTCTGACAAGTGGAAACTCAAGATCACACTGATTATTCTCTACAGGAGAGAAGTCTGCAGAACGATGGCTCAGATCCTACTGGCAAACTTGCATTCCAATTCAGAAACACACTTTCCAAATGATCCTACAATAGCTACTGCAACAGACTGTAGTCTCAGAGTCTTTTGTACTAAGGTAATTTCCATGTCACGTTCCCCTTGCAATTTAGCTCCAAAAAAACAAGAAAGCATCTCACATAAATAAAGCTGCACATTCCTCTGTCAGCCTCCAGTCAGAGCCTGGGGCAGAGGGCTGTATTTTGTGGCCATTTACATAGACTAACATCACAAAAATCTGGATCAATTCTACAGACCCTGACATGCAGGAGGATATTTACCTTAAAGATCCCATGCATAGTACTGGTCATGCTGAAAACAACACCCAAGTAGGACTTCATAGTGTGTCACAAAAAAAACAAGAGCAACGGTGACTTCCCCCCTTAAAAGGGTGCAAGGACGTGGCTGCCTCGCCCAGCAGCTCTGGCCAGGACCTTGCCTGCCCAGCTGCAGGCGCCCAGTACAGACCAGTGGGTGGTCCCGCCCCTCACTCCAGTAGATGACTCCACAGACCAGGCATACCTACAGATGCTCTCAAAAACGTCTTCTGAAGAAGAGCAGACATCTAAAGAGCAACCAGGATTCTGGGTATGTCTTCAGAACCACAGTTCTCTATTCGCTCCTGAAACTCACCTAAAATTGCAATCCTTGCCTTGGGACTTCATGGTTTGTGGTGTTCAGAACAGGAAAATAAGATATATTTTCTGCTGTTGAATAAGAAAGGCTACCTGGAGATAAGCTACATGGAATATATACCACACCA